GCAAACAAGCACACACACCGTGTCAGAACAGGGACTAAAAAACACACCGCGCACCATATGCAAATTACCTGTTAAAATTACATACTATATTTGAAAATGTTTGATAAAAAAGTAACACTGAATATCAATTTAGTAAATTTTGTTATATTTTATTATGTCACTTGTCGTAAGCATGTAGCTTCTCTGAAAGCGATGTCTGTGCAAATCACAGATGATCGCAAACCAACATTCACATGTTTTACAAAACAATTTTTACGAAGTAAGTTTCTGTGATGTGAAAGTCACCATTACCATGTGCGTGTAAGTTCTTCATATCAGGAGGAATTCCAAACTATGCAAGGTATATGCTGTGTTTATTAAAATGCACCACCAACTATGTACCTATACTATGTACCTAATGTACTTTCACTCCCTTTTCATATATATCATATTTCTATTTACTGAAAAAAAAAAAGTATTTCTGAGGATGCTTACTGGGCTCTGTGCAACCAAAATGTGATTTCAATGTCTATAACCTATTTGTGATGGATATACAATGCATTCCTAAAAAAAAATTTGTTAGATATGAAATGTTCTGTCAACTGCACAAATAAGCGACTATATAACATCCTGTTCACCTAGTTGTGTCATTTTTGCCACTGCATATTGAATCGTACAATAAAGATTTTAGTTTTCAGATTTCACAGCAAGATCTTCTGCATTCAGTACCTTCATTGATCAGTTTCTGAATCAGTTGGGAAATTTAACAATAAATATGTAAAACATTTTCAACAAACTTTTCCAAAACCAGGTAATAACCACCTGTGTGTGGGATATGTCATCATACAACACAGTATTCTGATTGGTTAAAGGTAATTATTGACTTATAAGGTCAATGGACTTTAGATTTAGGTCAATGTGGCAGATCAGATTATATGGGATATTGTCAGTATAGTGTCTTGATAAACACAGCACTATAACATATAGGGCTACATAAGGTATTGACCTACCTTACTTTTAGTAGAATCCAGTTCCGCGCCGAGTTCTGGTGGTTCATCTGAAAGTACTGCACTATCAGGTTGAACATAATTATGACGTAATTCCTCATTGTCAGAAACATCAGTGACATCTTCCACTGGTGGGGGTGATGATGGTGGATTTTGGGGCAGATTTTCACGATGATATTCCTGATTAATTGATCTACTCATGATTTCAGGATTGGGCTGAGTTCTTCCAGTAACTGTAGGTACTAGAATTGGTATACTGTTCTGCATTGTGTCTGTTACAGTTGATGTGTTGATCGTTGATACATCACTGTGAGTGTGTAATGTCATGTGCATCGTTTCATTCTTTTCAGCATTGACTGGTGAATTTGGATCAATATATGGTGCATACAAAGTACTCCCACCAGCTCTGTCATATGATTGTACAGAAGTCTCTCCATTGCCTGCCATATCTGCTAGTAGATCCAAACCTGATGAGATAGTTGTATCAGAAAATTACAACCTTGTAGATACAAAGTTTTGAAAGTAGATGCAAAGTCACTACACAAAGTAGATAACTGATATCATTACTGTTATACTGTATTCAACAATTGACTGACTGATGTTCCTGTATAGAAAATAGTAGTAACGTTCAGAATGAGGCAATGATTTGAAAATTGTAATATACCTCCAATGCAGAGATAGAAATTTATCAAAACTTGTCATCATCTGATAGTCAGATCACATAATGCATGACAAATATTGACCACAAATTATATCAAGTTTAAAAGTAACAACTGAAGCAAGTCTAAGATTTGTCTCAAGTTTAACGGATATCCATTAATGCCATATTGTTTAAAATCACATGGTTTTGTGACCTTACATAGATTGAGAGTGTCTGTAAAACATGTTGCTGGCCAATCAGAGTTGGCATATCGAATGGCAGGATGATGAATTGCTCAACAGAGCACACTTCATTATACATTTAATGAACAGGATCTGCCAAAGTAGTGGGGCAAAGGTTGAATAAATGGCGAAAGTAATTCATTCATGGCTGTAATGTGTGAATGCAATCAATCGGTGCACTGGCACATTGTTGATGTATTTATATGCATGCTGGGAGATTAATCTACTTTATCTGAGCTTGCACTGACAAATTGAGGGTATAAAGGATGTTAGATTAAGTATAGTTTTATGTCATGTTTTATCTGTTAACGGGACATCATTTGTAGCTGCATGTGGTACAACTTCCATCGGTACAGGATTCAGTATACCTATTAAAAACAATGAATTCAATTTTAAATAATTATTAGTGGTTCAAACTTAATTTGCCATTTTGTTTTGATAGAAATGCAAGTCATAATAGTTTAATTTGCATATACAAATTTTTATACTATGTTGTGACTTGTTTCACACTGACATAGCAGCAGACCACAGAGATCATAGGTCTGATCTGCTGGTGTTGCTTTGCAATTACACTACCTTGATCAGTAGAGGTTTGAATTAGCGGTACAGGAGGCACTGTGGAGTAGTTCCTGCTTCCATCTTCACTTTCAGAAGAGGCATCATCCTCAATATCAGAGCCAAATTCATCTTCACTTTCAGAAGAGGCATCATCCTGAAATGAGGAATACTAATTATACTTGGTATAAAATTTATGACATGTATGCCTCCCCTGGTGACATTTAATAAGTTAATAACAATGTTTATATCTTGTATAGTATAGAAAAAAAATCAATGTCTATAGGAATGTATGAAACTCTTAAAATCTCGCACAAAAATTATAAAAGGTGTGAGTGATTTTGTACACAACCTTCATAACCAATAATGAAAATTTGTGTGTTCATTTATTTTGTTTGAAAATCCATGATTTAAATATGCCTATGCTTAAATTGAACAGAAGAATTATTATGAAGACTTGTATTTTCACTATATAAGTACAATAATTTGATTTGGGGAAGGGGTATACAAGTAAGGCTACTCAGAATAGTAAAATAAATTACGTACATTTGTAACCCAACATGTTCAATATCACATCCCTTGTCTGTGTTTTGATGAAAATGATTGTCAGTTGGTTAAATGTCATTGAAACTCAAAAGGTGATGCAACTAATTACGTTTTATGTGCCAAATTTAAACAAAGTCTGTAAAAGGTAGAAAACAAATGGTCACTAGTCAGCCATTTGGAATCAGATTGCCAAACTGAGTTGCATCAGTAACCCAGTGTGTGTGATGCTCCCACTAAGTTTGAATATAATCAGTCGAGGGATAGCTGCGAGAAACTGATGACATGTTTGATGATTTGTTTCATTTGACGAAATCAAAATAGCCACCAGATCTTTATGTGCATCAGTAACCCACCATGAGTGATGTCATAATCGAGTTTGAATGAAATTCATCTAGACAGCCTGTCAAAGGTCAACAGAACGAAAAACCAATCAACATGCACATGTCTCCCATTATGCCATTCAGCAACATAATGGACACATGGATGGACAAACAGACAGAACGAACCTCAAACACAAGTCACTGATTTGGCTTAGAAATAAAATAAATTTTCACAAGCAATTGACGACAAAGATATCTTTATTGCCTAGTAGGAACTTATTGCTCAAGAGTTGAGAACTTGCAAAAGTCTATAGAAAACCAGAAAACATTTTGCTCACAATTTCCAAAAATTAATTCTGACTCAGTTTACCTGTTTAGGCAATGGTTTGCCGAGTAACAAATATGCAATATCAATGTGATTATTTCCTGCAGCCAAGTGCAAAGCAGTTCTTTTATTCTGAAATGAAGGAATACAATTGAAAATTGTTTTATTCTCAACTTATACAAATCAAAACAGAATTCATAATAACCGAAAAACATAATGCTTTAAATATACAAATATAGCACATCTGCAGAAAGACTTGTTTGACAAGATCAGAATTGTGTCATAAATTATTCTACCATAGACAGTGTTCTCTTTAGTCTTATCTGGCTCATTGTAATTAAGAGAAATGAACGATACTCTCCACAATGGATGTTGGCCAGATATATGTAAATCGCAAATGTGAACAAATATTAAACAAGTTACAAAAATAAAAGTTTGCATTTATTTGTGAATGTACCAGTATAACAAACAATTTACCTTGTTTTCTTTTAATTTGTTGATTGTTCTGTGTTTGAGCAGAGTCTTGACAACTTTAGTACTACCATTCTCACTGGCTATATGCAATGCTGTATTACCATCCTGATAACAAAAAAGAGGTGTTATGTAATACACACCACAAAGCTGTAACTATGATATCCTGGTACAGATACAAAATACTAGTATAGATGGACTGCAAAAAAAGTTTATTAATAGCCCTGCACTTGCTACTGGTCCGTCCCTTTTCAATAATCTAGACTGTGGCCATGTTGTCACAATTAAAATTTATACGTATTTGTGCCCAATGCTCTCCCCATAGCATTGTCGTTACTACATTGCAAGCTTTTCCTCCCTGTTTGTTGACTGACCTACAACCAAACACCAATCTAGTGTAAAAATAGTATTTGTTCTACTATACCCCATGAAGACTCCAAATGGATAGATGAATTGGGATCTGTTAAATGTGTCCATAATATTGAATTCACATAACTGAAACGTTGGATCGATACTTTTGATTTTGTCTATAGCAATATACTCAGTTATGGAAAGGAAAAATCTTTCTTCATAAAACAATTCATTAATACCAGGGACCTCGTCATGTGGGGCTGACAAATTTACTACAACCTTTTAATTAAATATATTTTATATTAAATTAATAGTTTTGTTACGTGAAATAATGCTAACAAGAATTCCAGTAATGTTAAGGTTTTATTTAACCTTGAACTAAATTAACAGTTTTGTGTTGTCCAACTAGGTCTGACATAGTAGAATATGGTATCAGCTCAGAAACAGATGGAAGCAGAGAAAGCAGAGTCTGAAATTGAACTGACGACAGGAAGTAACAATACTCACAATATCACAGCAATTTGTATCATATCCTTGTTTTACCATCAATCTCACAATACGAGGTTGTTCATTCTTGGCAGCCCAAGCAAGTATCTTAAGTTTGTACATGTGAAATTAGAAAAGGAGAATATTAAGGTGAGTAGTCTCATAATCTGTACTGTTTATACTCTCAATACATATTCTCCTTTCTTCTGGTCAATGCAAAAAATTACAGTTATATTAAACTAACTTCATCTGCAAGTTTGATAATTATCCAAAAATAATTATTCAAGTTTATGACTCCACAAAAAACAAATGTTGACTACTGCAGCTGAATGTCTTTGGGTTTAGTGTGTGCGCGCATATGTTCCACTTCTCAAGACCCAATCATCAAAATTCTATGAAACTTCTTTGGGACAATGTATCAATGTATCAATATTAGTTAGTTAATTTGCATAATTAGCCATATTTCAGCTTATCTATCGATATGTCAAAAAACTTATCATTGCATTTCAATGAAACTAATTGTTATATAGAAGCTCATCGACAATGCACGAATGTAATTAGTTTTTGGTTTAAATTAGAGGACAATAATTACCTAATTTGCATAATTGCAAAATGTTTAGCTTTTCCACCAATATATCAAGATAAAATCTCAATGAAACCTCCCACCGAGGTGCTTTTGGATAATCCAGATCTGATTACTACATGCATAATAATTACCCACTTTGTATAAATGGGATCATACGACCTTATTAATATGTGTAACTAATATCTCAAGTACTGTTGGCAGTCAAGGTTAAGAATTTGTTGCAATATTGAAAGGATATAAGCTGACGTATCAGATGACCATACATTTGTATATGGTTCTAATTAATACTGTAATATGCATGTAAACAGTGCCATAATGAAGGCATCAGATGACTATATACATATGTATATATACATGAATATGCACAACTAATATCTGTCAGACATTTGCAGTTATATTTTTAAATCCTGTACTTACTCTATTAGAAGCACATGTGCTTGAAAGTAAATGACAAAGGCAAATAAGCTTATGGTCAAAATGAGACAACTGAACAATTTTGCATGCAATGTTTGCTTTTTTTTTGTACTGGAGATGTGCTAATATAGTAACTACAGTATTCCTTATTTTTTCTTCATGCCTCCAATATCCTTAGCACATTGAAGGTCTTCCTATACTTTCCTTAATCCCTTTCCCTTCATGTAGACTAAACTGGTAATGTAGAACATGTAACCAGAAAATATATTAGACATATTACCATATTACCATTCATTATTCTGAGTTGTTAATATAATTAACTGATGAATAGATACACATGTAACTTACAACATCACAGACGTCTTTATGACAGCAATTTTCTTCTTCTAGTAATGTCAAAAAGTTTTCAATCTTCTCAACAGCAGCAGCACAATTAAGTATCTGTGTAAAAAGAACATTAGAATAGATAACATATACAAGACTCAAAACATGTAGCTTTGAATCAAATTCA